GGGGGGGGGGGGGGGGGGGGGGGGGGGGGGGGGGGGGGGGGGGGGGGGGGGGGGGGGCTCATGGGGAGGAGGCCATTGTAACTAGAGCTGCTGACAGAGTCAGGGCGGGGGGGAAAGTGAGTGACACAGAGAGACAGGAGGGAGGAGATAGAGACACAGGAACCAGGAAGATAGAGGGGATGGGCACCAGCCGTCAAGAAACAACGGCCGCCAATGCCGTATGCAAGCCTGTACCTCTTCGGGTACCTGCCTGCTGTTCAGCTGGTGCGGGATCCCCAAAACATTGTCGTGGTTGGCGGATGGTTTCAGTGAGCAGGAAAAGGTATCCCAGATGGTGGAGATGAAAATGGTTTTGCCACAAGAAAAAACAACACAACTCAAAAGGGGATGCGTGGAGGGCCGGTAACAAAAAACACATGCTGCGATGTACTCTATACATGTACACCGAGTAGACACAACATCAGCGTGAAGAAAGAGACTTACGCCAAAGGTCGCACAGTAAGTTTTCCCTTTCCCTCTCCATATGCGCGTGTACACGTCCGAAAAAACAGTGAAAAAACAAACAGAAAAGTTGACAGCACGTGAGAGGGGATAATAGCAGCGATGCGCCCCTGGGTTTCGATATATCGTCAGGCACCACACCAAACGGTCACGGACGAGATCACCCCACGGCCTACCAATATCATCACCACCATGTAGCAAGCCAACGAAAGGCGGCTGAACCCCAATCTCCGACCGAGATCTACGAAGAACCTTTGCAAATCTACCGAAATCGATGCACACGAAGAACCTGTGCAGATCTCCGTAGAAACGCACCTGTCCGTGCCGGGGGGAGGGGTCATGGCTAGCCCTCTTGCCGCGGGGCACATGAAATCGAGGAACTGGTTGTACTCCGGATTGCGGATCATCGTCTGAAACCTGAAAAACAAAAAACAAAAACACGATAAAAAAAACACGAACGAACAAGCGAAAAAATCATGTCACATTCAAGAAGAAGCCCTTGGTATTCATGGGGATTGGACCGAACAAATCAAACGAAACAACGAAAAACCGTTTCACATGTTTAAGAGAAGAGGCTTATTGTCATTTCTGGGGATTGGTTGTGCTTCTGGGCTGCAAAGTAGCCATCTTCTCTTGAATCTGAAAAAACAAGGAAAACGACAACAACGCAGATGAATGTAAGACATGTTTGATGTTGACGCTTAGTGACCTTTTCGATGGACGAGATGATTTTTGGGCCTTCCGCATTTCTTTCCTCAAGGAAATGGAGGAGTTTTCCCTTTGGTGTGTGTGTGGCGTCAAGGGCCAACTCTCGATGTGCGTATGTGTATCTATTAGTAGCATCGACCGCGCCAACCGGCTGGCCAGTGAAAAGACGTCAGTCTCAGTGCGGATGCCATGAGCTGGGGCCCCGTGAGGGGGCGGCATGGGGGAGGCTAAGCTCTTTCCCGGATTAAAGACAAAAACGGTAGCAACATAGGCTTGTCTACCAAAGGCTACTACCTTGCACTCGAGTTCGTTTTGGCGTGGTTTCACCATCGTCCTCCTTGCTTTCACTACCATCACTCTCATCGTCATTTTTGAAGCTATTTTTCGGCATCACTTCTTTAGCCCTGTGTCGTTCGTTGCGGGGAAGGTCGTCTGGCTCAAAGATCTTGCTCTCTTCCATGTGTGTGTGTGTGTACGCCGTTGAGAGCAGTACAGTCACCGCGAGACAAAAGAATGAACAACTCAACAATCCATACGTCTTTGGAAAAACAAGTCTCGACGAAATGACGTCTCCAACGCCGTCACTTTCGGCACCGCCACTCTCGTCTCGTCTGCGTGGAGAAAACGAGATTTTGACCATCGCCCCGAAGGGGGGGGTGCTATCTCATGTAACCTACTGGCCTCGATCCCTCGTCTGGAACTCACTTTCTCAGCCCATGGTCGGGGTCGCCTGCCGCGCACCACGGCCTGTCCATCAACGAAAGCAGCACGACACCGTAGCAACAGGAGGCAGGCAGGGCTTCGTGGACGTTACCGGGGGGCGGGGGGGAGGGGCGAGATGTACTCGTTCCATGCCGGCGGGGGTTACGTATTACATCACTCGGGTGATGGTCGCTGATAGCAGTTCTACCCCAACCTCCAACGGAAGCCTGTTGCCAGTCAAATATACCGCGATAGGGGGGAGGACGGGGGGGCCGCAGGACCGCCCTCCCCAAGAAGGATATGTTCAGAACAAACAGAGGATAAATGGCAAGGTGGAAAAAGTGGAGAGAGCGCATGGAATGGCAAGTGTTCACAAAGTGAACAATGAAGTGCGTCAAAACAAGGGTCAGGCGAAAATGCAGCAATACCTACACAAGCTCAGAAATACGATGAAACAGCCAGCAAAACAGTTGAAGAACAAGGACCGAAATGAAGCGAGGATGCCTTGTGGCACCCAAACAATGAAATCATGTTCACCCCGGCAACACATAGACCAATGACTAGCTTGTCCCACGTATCAGCGCCGTCGAGAATGAAAAACATTGTTGAGAAAGAAAATAGAGGCAGCCCTGAGGCCCGAAGGAATGAAATCAGAACACCTTCGAGCAGAGCAGAAAGTAAAAACAACAAAACTCGTGACCCCAAAGTGGGTACATCTTCACTTCCAAGTCAAGAACGGAAAACCATCACTAGAACAAGGCCTACACTCACGCGTCTCATTTTCACTCCCCGGCCATGAAACCCCCCCCCC